AGAGCACTGTGCAGTCAAGACTGAAAGATTCCTTCATGGCTATCTCGGAGACAGTGACTTTGAAATAGCTGAATGGCTATTTAGGATATTGACTAAAACACCTTGTGGGGAGCAATTCGGACTAGACTAAGTTACTGGAATTAAGACTTATTCTATGCATCTGCTCTCCCACAATATGGCGCTGAGAAGGGAGAAACAACTTCTACGCAGCTGCCTCTCGCCAATTTGATTGACTGAGCTGCAGGAGCTGATCCTGCTCCTGATTGGAGGAGAGCAGTGTACTCGGCATGTGGGTAGCAGAGTTGGGATTGGTGGAAGAGGACTATAAAGGAGGAGAGAGACAACAGGCACCAGGAAAATCTAAGGGGAACACCTGAGGAACATCTGAGCAGCCCCCGAGAGAGCCGGCCGGCGGTGTGCCGCTCCCCCGCGGAAGTGGGGAATGTGGCCAGGGGGAACTGCCCTTCCACGGAGGTGGAAGGGACGGTAGCCAACCCGGGAAGAACCAGCAGCAAACCCGGGGAGGGCCAAGCAGACAAAAGAACAGCACAGGGTCCTGTGTCGTTCCTCCACGAAGACGGGGAGCGACATAATGGTGCCGTGACTCGGATATGAAGCCTAGGCAGGGTTTAGTGTCGCTCCTCCACGAAGACGGGGAGCGACACACCTCTCCTGAAAGGAAATTCAGAGTCTAGTAGGGTAGGCAGTTCTGTATTTAGAGACCATTGATAGGACATTTCAAAGTCAAACTTTGTATTTGTTTAATAAAAATCATTGATGTGTATTTTGTTATAGATCTTTGAACATTTAGTCTGATTTTCTTTATTATCACATGTTATCAACTCAAAAAAACCTCCATGTATCCACCTTTAACAGATACTTCCTATCTGTGCTACATAGCCATTGGTTGTGCATCTATTCTGTCCCTGTTTTGCTTTGAATGTTTCCTTGCTTCTATTTTTGCAATAATAGACATTCAATTTCTCTATAATCACTGGCTTAATCACCACTAACATAATGTTCAAGAAGTAGAATCTAGAAAGACCACTGTTCCACCAAAATATAGACGAGGCCTATAAACAATTATCAGACTGTAAGATGTCAATTTCACCCTTAGATATTCAGGGTTTTTGGTTTTCTTTTGACTCTGTATAAACTACCACATATCAGAAAAAAACATATCTTTTTCAGGGGAGAGATCTGTCTTATTTCACTAAGCATAATGGTCTATAGTTACATTCATTGTGTTGTAAAATCAGAATTTCATTCTATTTTATGGCTGTGTCAAATCATGTATATATACCATATTTTATTTAAATATCAGTTGATTGATATCTGGGTTGATTCTGTATCTTAGCTATTTCGAATATAGCTATTATAAGTATATTGGTACAGACACCTCTTTCATATGCTTGCTTATTTAATTTCCTTTGGGTAAATTCTCAGGAGTGGGATGGCTGGGTCATATTGGAGATCTGTTTAAAGATTTCTGACAAATCTCCATACTATCTTCCATAATGGTTGTAATAGATTATATTTCCATCAACAGCACATTAGGGTACCTTTTTTGCCACACCTTTGCCAGCATTTTTTTATTTTTTGGATGATAGCTACTCTAACTGGGGTGAGCCTCAAGATGGTTTTTATTTGCATTTCCCACATGACTAGTGACCCTGAGCAACTTTTCATGTGTCTGTTGGCCATTTGTATTTCATCTTTTGAAAAATTACTGATCAAATCCTTAGCCCACTTCTTAACTGCATTGTTTGTTTTGTTGTTGAGTTTCTTGAGCTCCTTATATACTCTAAGTATTAATCCTTATCAGATGCATTCTGCAAATATTTTCTCCCATTCTGTCTGTTGCCTCTTAACTTTGTTGAGTGTTTCCTTTGCTGTACACAAGCTTCTTAGCTTGATGTAAATCCATTTGTTTATTTTGCTGTTACTGCTTGACCTTCTGGGGTCTTTTCCAAGAAGTCTCTGCTTATGCCAATGTCTTGCAGCATTTCACTTGTATTTTCCTCTAGTACTTTGATGGCTTCAGATCATAGGTTTAGAACTTTGATCCATCGTTATTTGGTTTTGTATAGGATAGTTGAGGAGTCTTTGTTTCATACTTATGCATGCAGAGATCCAATTTTCCCCACACCACTTGTTGAGGAGATCATTCTTTCTCCAGGGAGTGATTTTATCTCATTTGTCAAAGCTTAGTTATAGAAGCATGGATTAATTTCTGGGGCTTTTATTCTGTTTTATTGTTCAGCACGCCTGTTTGTCTGCCAATACCAACCAGGCTGTTTTGAATATAACAGCTCTGTAGTATGTCTTTGAATATGGCATTGGATATTTCCAACTTTTTTGATTTTTTAAAATTGCTTCAGCTACTCAGGTTCTCTTATGTTTCCATATGAACTTTAGGATTTTTTTTTCTATATCTGACAAGAATGTTATTGGTATTTTCATTGGAATCCCATTGAATCTTTAAATTTCTTTGAATAGTATGGATAATTTTGATATTATTCTTCCATTCCACAAACATGAAAGATTTTTTCCATTTTTAGGTTATTTCTTCTATTTCTTTCTTAATGCTTTATAATTTTTATTGTTTAGATCTTTCACATTCTTGGTTAAATTTCTTCAAAGATATTTTAATTTTTTGTAGCTGTTGTTAATGGGTGTGATCTTAAAAGTTCTTTCTCAGCCATGGCATTCAGGAACTTTGATTTTTTTTTTTTTTTTTTTGACAGGCAGAGTTAGACAGTGAGAGAGAGACAGAGAGAAAGTTCTTCCTTTTTCCGTTGGTTCACCCCCCAAGTGGCTGCTACGGCCGGCGTGTTGCAGCTGGCGCTCTGTGCCAATCCAATGCCAGGAGCCAGGTGCTTCTCCTGGTCTCCCATGCGGGTGCAGGGCCCAAGCACTTGCACCATCCTGCACTGCCTTCCCGGGCCACAGCAGAGAGCTGGACTGGAAGAGGAGCAACCGGGACACAATCCGGCGCCCTGACCGGAACTAGAACCCAGTGTGCCGGCGCCACAGGCGGAGGATTAGCCTAGTGAGCCGCGGTGCCAGCCAAAGGAACCTTGATTTTTGATATAAGTTGTCAAAAATACTTTGGGCAATGATTCCTCCATTTAGTGTAGTGGTTACCTCTCAAGTAGGCTGTGTTCTTAGCTATTGTGAACATGAAATAGTGCTATAGTAAGTAAAAATACTATGTAAAATGGAAGAAGAAATATAATATGAATATAATGGCTCTTCTCGATATTTCTGTGTGAGATTCTTCATATTAGTACTAATCCATTTTCAATTCAACTGAATTAATATTCAAATAACATTTAAATTTTTATTTGCTTTAGAGTTGTGGAGAGATGCCTACAATGGCCTGTCCTAAGCCAGGCTGAAATTGAAAACCAGGGATTCAATTTGGGTCACCCATGTGGGAGGCAGGAACCATCTACTTGAGCCATAACTGCTGCCTTTAAGTGTTTATATTAACAGGAGGCAGGGGCCAGGAGCCAGAAGTCATACTCATGCCCATGTACTGTTTCATGGGATGCAGCATCTTAAACGTGTCTTATCAGCTAGCTCAAAGGCTTGCCCTGGTTTTTCATTATTTATTTGTTTTTAAATAGTTTTGGTCATTCACCCCTGTGCGCTTCTCTTGATCCACACTTTTGGTTTTCTTCCTTTTCCCTGGTTGTTTTATCTCACGTCTTTGTGTGATTTTTATCTCTTCCCATGACTCCAACTATGGCTTGCCCAGTGATCAGATTTTCTTGGTCTACTCAAACTCTCTATAGTATCTCTTCTGTCTCATGGCTTTTGATTTAAATTCTAATTGTAAACGTGTGCTTTGCAAGATGATGGCTCTAGTTCTTTTTTTAAATTTTATTTTTTTAAATAATTTATTTAAGAGATGAGGAGTCAGAGAAAGAATGAGACAGTCTTTCATCTGCTAGTTCATTCCCCAAATGTCCACAACAGATGAGGTTAGGCAAAGCTAAAGCCAGAAGCCTAGAACTCCATTCTGGACTCCATGTAGGGTAGCAGAAGTCCAAGTGCTTGGCCCATCTTCCACTGCTTTCCCAAGCACATTAGCAGGCAGCCGATGGGAAGTGGAGCATTCCAGACTCAAACTAGCACTCATATGGGATTATGGTGTCACAAGCAGCAGCCCAACACATTGCACCACAACACCAGGCCTAGATCCAGCTCTGATCTTTCCTTTAGTCCAGGATACTTATATCCTATTGTATGCTTCATGTTTCAATATGGTTCACTTAAAATTTTCAAAAAATGACTTCCTGATCTTCTCCTCCAAACTTTGATCCTCCCCTAGCTTTCTATTTTTTTTTTTTAATGGAAATTACATTCCTCCAGTTGCTCAGAACAGAAAGCTTGGAGTCATTTCTCAGTCTTGACTGCTCACAGTGCTTATCCATTCTTTCTTTTTTTTTTTTTTTTTTTTTTTTTTTGCCAGGTGGAGTTAGACAGTGAGAGAGATTGACAGAGAGAGAGAGAGTTATAGACAGTGAGAGAGAGAGAGAGACAAAGAGAAAGGTCTTCCTTCCATTGGTTCACTCCCCTAATGGCCACTACAGCCAGCGCTGCATGATCCAAAGCCAGGAACCAGGTGCTTCTCCTGGTCTCCCTAGCAGGTGCAGGGCCCAAGCACTTCAGCCATCCTCCGCTGCCCTCCCAGGCCACAGCAGAGAGCTGGACTGGAAGAGAAGCAACTGGGACTAGAACCCGGCACCCCAACAAGGACTAGAACCCGGGGTGCCGGCGCCGCAGGCAGAGGATTAGCCAAGTGAGCCACGGTGCCGGCCCACTTATCTATTCTTATATCTGCTCTCAAAAGTATATATAAAATTGACTAGATTTTAATAATGTGGCTTTTTTTAGTAGTTTAGTAGAGGGAGATGAAAGGGTCAAAGGAAATATGCACTATTGAACTGCAGTATGTCATCACTCACATTGAAGCACCCCTCTATTTTCAGGAAAGGCATATGCTCCAGAATTCTACTATGATACCTACAATCCAGTGTGGCAGAACAGACACCGTGTTTATTCCTACAGCCTTCAGTGGACACAAATGAATCCCGACGCCGTGGATCGGATTGTTGCGTACCGATTGGGTATTAGGCAGGTAAGAAATTTAATTGCCATCTTTTATTTTTCCTTTGTAACCCTTGTGCAGACTTTGTTACTACAATTTTTCTAACCTTTTTTCATGAATTTCAGGATGTATTTTCCTTTATCAGAGATAATATCTTGTTGTGTAAACTGCTCTGAATTACATACAAATTTTTTAAGTTGATTTACATACTTTCCCCTATGACAGCAGACATATTAAAGCAACATTATTGGAGGTCTCTGAAATCCTTCCGTACTAGATATGCTGGAGAAATTGTATGCTACAAATGCCAGGAACTTATTTAAGATGTGCCCTACTTAACCATATTCATTAATCATTTGTTTCCAGAGGAGCTGTACATTTTAAATATTATTTTTGAAGCATGCAAGAAATACAGAGAATGCATTGAAAGTTAATTTAATAGATCTGACAAAGAATATGCTTTAGTAAAATATGAAGAAATAATAAAGTATGGTATTTTCCCTGTGCACTACATGAAAACGTGTATCTTTTTCAAATGAGCTACTGTTAAGCTCATTTGGCCTTTGCGGGTATAAGTAATATTTTTTCAAATTTAAATGTAGATCTTTACGTTGTTTCTTGTTAGGTAGTATCCGAGGAACTGTTTCAGCCTAACACAATGTTTTTCAAGATATATTTGAATAGCACCTGGTCAGTTAGCTCTTCCTCCCAATTGTATATCATCTGCAGATTTGCAAAGTGTACATTCTATTTGTATAACTAAATCCTAGAAATAACATTTTGATTTGGAACAGAAGAAAAGAAAAAATTTGTTTGATAAAAGACTGGTAAACTTCTAGCAACCGATTCAGCAGTTCTGTCTTTAAGCCATTGTTTCTCTATAGTGCTCACCATGACTTAATAAAAGAATTTGTCAGACAACCTCTCAAATTAAGATAGATTGGAACTTGAATTTGTCCTCCTTATTAGTTAATGGTCTTAAAAATGTAAGAGATCCCTCCTGGTGGAAACATACTGCTACTTGTTAATGACTGATAGCTTGCATGAATGCTCACAGCAGATCTCAGTGGACCATTCTGAAAATTTGCACTTGTCCTTGGGTAAATTTATGTAAATCCTAAAGCCACATCAAAGTTGATTGTTCTACCTGTTCTAATTTGATCATTTTTATTGGCATGGAAGATAAAAGTGACAGCAAAAGTGGTTAGTAGTTTTCACTCTGACAAGTGGGATATGACTATATTTTTCTTTTCTTAACACAGCCATTGTTTTCTTTTTTTTTTCAGTTTTGCATCATTTGTTTTCTGAGAGCTTACTTTTTTATTAATTAATTATTTAAGTAATACAGATTTCATAAGTACAACTTTAGGAATATAGTTATTTGCACCATACCCACCTCCCACCCCACCCCTGCCAGTCCCATTCTCCATTAAGAATTATTTTAATTTAACTTTGTACACAGAATACCAACTTTATACTAAGTAAAGATTTCAACAATTTGCATACACATGCACCCTCCCCCCAAAAAAAATCTGTTTGAGAACTAGTTTTACTGGTAGTCTCATAATCCAGCTCTTTGAAGACAGAGGTCCTGCATGGGGAGTTAGTGCTGTGACTGATGTTGTTAATTTAACAATTAACACTGTGTGACATCAGTGGCCACCCGAGGCTGTTGACATGAGCTCCCTAGGAAGCCGTTTGAGTCCACAAACTCTGTCAGTACTTAGACAAGGCCATAAGCAAAGTGGAAGTTCTCTCCTCCCTTCAGAGAAAAGTACATCTTTCTTTGCTACAGTGATTGTTCTTAAATTTTCATGTTAGAAACTTCTCAAGGAATTCTTCTCTTTTATTTTTCTTAGTTCCCTACCACATTATTTGGTTATCCATTTTCATCTATCTATCTATCTATCTCCAAGAGTAATTGGTATTTGTAAAATTAAGCTGCTTTCTTTAGATGTCATTTACTATTTTCTGGTTATGGGTTCATTTGCAATGAGAGTCAGAATTTTACGTTTAGTTTCTATTTTCTTCCTCAGCCATATTTTCACAGTCTCTGGGTAACTGACCATGCCAATCTGAAGGGCTGCTGGCTTTATGACTTACATGCACGTGGTTTTTTTTTTTCATTTCCAAAACTCTCTCAGAATCTTGAATCAATGAACTTTGAATATAATCAACAAAACAGTTTAAATAAACTGTATTATAATGTGGACTCTACAACATAAGTTTTAAAAGAAATGACATTTCTCTAATCACTGCTATTTATGTTTTTGGTTATAAGATGAAATTTTCTTCCAGGAATTATTAACTCACAGTATATATTTTATTGATTCTGGAGTCTTAATGTTCATGCTATATTTACATTTTAATCCCATAGATCTAACTAATTTCTTTAATCTTCAAAATACCTAGGTCATTTAGTATAAAATATCTTCCTTTTAATATCAAATATGGCCTTCAGAACACAATATTTCATTGTATTTTTGAAGATTTGGGGAAAAATTTGATTCTTTAAGACTAATGACAAATTCAATCCTAAAAACTCTATAATTTGTTTTTAATTTATAAACATTTAGAAACTTCATTACCTATTCTTAAATAAGATTATAAAATTATTGCTGTTATTAAACCCATTATGGATAGAGTTGGTAAAATGAAAAACAGCATTCCTTGTAGTTTTCTAATAGTGTTAACTGACTTTTTATTAAAATATATGATCAGTACTTAACTGTGATGTGGAACAGTGTCTTTAAATTTTACCATTGCCCAATATACTTCAAGTAAAATACTTCACAGTATCTAGAGTAAAGCACTGGAACTCTGGAATAACTACTTTAAGAAGCTTTAAAAGGAGAAATATATCATGGGAAGCCAAAATACTAATTTGCAGAAAAAAACTTTTCTTAAAGTCTTAATGTTCTTAAGTTATACTTTTCAGGCTCAGCTAAGCAATTGTTTAATTTCCTTAGACAGCTACTACTCTCCAATTACTTGCTTCATTTGTTGCTTAATAGGAAAGAGAAAAGAGTTATTTGAATGTTTGCCTCAGATGGTATCTAAGGAATTAAGAAACCAGCAAAATTATTTCTAACTTGTATATACTAACCAACATAAACATCATTAGAATCCACTGGCAATAGAGACAATTACAGTTTTTAATAAGAGATTTTACAGTTTTATACACTTTTTTTCATATTTTGCCATACAGATTTACAATGAGTGTGACATTTTGATGATCATTTTAGAAAGTAAGATATGTCATTGCTTAGAGTGCTTTAGTTGCCCCACTCCTCCCTTCTTAAACCATAGTATATTATAGTGCTTAGAGTTATCATATGTATTTCCTCACCCATTCAATCAATGAAACTTTAATTAATCATATGGTATTTAAAAATGAAGAATTGTCTTAAATGTCCTATTAAAATAAATGTTATAATAGAAGTATATACAAAGTGCCACAGAATCAAGTTTGGGAGCAGCTACTACTGCCCGGTAGCGGGTTACAGCATCACTAACATAGACTTTGTTAGTTTTATAGGTTTATTTCCAAATTTTCTACTCAAGTGGTAATCATTAATAATCACTAACAAAGAAATCAGTCCTCAAAATATAAATTGTTTTATAATTATTCTATTGTCTTATATGATTCATTCTGGTCTTCAGACATGTTTTTGCCAATTGAGTAATTGAGTTACTGCATATTCCTCTTTCTGGTTAAGCATTTTTTGAAGCTGTTTTAGTAAATAATTTGTGCTTACTGTTATTTAGTGAAAGCACAATATTGTAATACTTCATAGTAAATAAAAAATTATAGATTTCTTATAGATAACAATGTATGTAATAATTGTGGTTATTGTGGTTTCTAAGTACTCAATATGTTTATAAAAAATCAAAATTTGCAGAGTTTGCAAGATTGTGAGGAATGACTTTTTATACTTAAACTACTGGTATGAAAAAGTATTAGTATTGCAGTACATTGTATAGATGCCGAAAGAGAATGGAAGATAAAAATGAAAATGGAATACCATATGTGCTTGACTCAAGCCAATTAGACTTTGTCGAGAGAGATGTTTGAGGGACTGTTTGACATGGGCTTTTTAATTCTAGTGCAGGACATCTATAGATTTGATCAATAATCTGAATTGTTTTGAATAGTTTTAAATCATCATCAGTATCTTTGTAGAACTCTAAAATCTACATCCACTCACCAGACATGCAGCAGCCCATCACTGACACCAGCAAAGGGTAAAATTTTTAAAAACAATTATTTTAAATTTTATTTATTTGAAACGCAAAGGAACATAAAAAGATAGACATACAGAAACAGAGAGAGACTGATTTCTCCCATCTCTGTGCTACTCGTTTAACGTCCCTAGTTCCTTGGAATTGGGGCAGGCTGAAGCCAGAAGCTGGGAGCTCTATGCAGGGTTCCTCTGTGCGTGGCAGGTCCTCAAGCGCTTGGCTCATCACCTCTGACCTCCCAGGGAACACATTAGCAAGCAGCTGGGATGGAGAGTCAGGACTGTCAGGACTCAAAATCAGGCACTTATATAGGAGATGTGGGCATTCCAGGGGCATCTTACCTGCTGTGCCTGAAAGCACTTGCTACTTCCTGCAAAGCATAGAACTAGGGGCGGGGCAGTTCTCCTTGAATTCTTGGGCTCCCTAGGGAGGTAAGGATAAGGGATCTGGTGGATTGAAGTTAGGGTTGGGGGCTGCATACTCGGCTCAGGTAAGAGTTTCAGATTGTTCCAGTACTTGGGGTCTTCCTTTCTTTAGTAAGTGATAGCACAGGTTTTAGGGCATTGTCATTGTTGCAAAGTGGGATTTACTCAGGACAGTATTTACTTTTTACCCAAGGTCTGGGTATCCTGGAAAAAAAAAAAAAACCACCGAGGAAAAACTAAACATTTACCTGAAGAGGATATAAATGATCACAATCTGAGTTTACTTAGTTGATTTTAGTAAAAGGCTGATATTTCAGAGACATTAAGCTAAAGGAAGGAGATGGGGAGATTGTGAGAGACTAG